AAAAAAAAACTAAAATTAATGGAAGTAACCTAGATGGTAAAAAGAAGTATGGAATTTTAACTTACCCAAGACTGAGCAGAGAAGACATTATTAATGTAAATTATCAATTGCAGAAATTATATCCATCCACACGAGCTCTCAAACTCACTGAACATGAGTATATTTAAGTGGAGTGAGAAATACACACTGAAAAACTAACCACAGATCTCCTGGGAAATAGAACAATACCTAACCCAGTAGATTACGAGGAGGAACAATAACAGGTGGAAAGTGCTGTGTAATAGGTGATCAAGCACAATAAAAATCAGGGCTGAATCATGCTTCTCGGCCACCCATGTGCAGATTCAGATTTGCCGCCTGCTTCCCCGCTTCTCCACCCTCATGCACAGATACATCTGTATGTAATGTTATAAGCTTGTTTTGTAGATTTCCAAATTAAATTCAAATCATATCATATACACACAATATTAATTGAAAAAATAAAATAAAAACATCATACTACAATTTAATAGTAAAGCAGACCAGTAATAATAATATCAACTTTTATTAGATTATACACACATCTTTAACACACGCCAGTGAAACCTTGCACTAATTTCAACACTCGTAAAACTAAACTGTAACTGTTTAATGTAAGTATCCATATGCACATAAAAAACATTATATGAAAATCTAACAGAAAAGGAGATGAACACTAATATTACTGAATCTTATGTTAATATACATACATTTAGTTTTATTAGTTCACAAGCCATGCACAACTTTAAGTTTAAAAAAAAGCAAATAAATAACTGCATAATGTGATACACCTTCATTTGCAATATAAATAATTAGAATATAATAAACAAATAAAACTTTGATAATCTTTTTGAAATGTTGGCTCGTCTGCCTTTTAATTCAGAAAATATTTTTATTTGCTGGTGAGTGTCTAACTTATCAGCAATCTCATATTCAATTGAGATTGTTGCCACATTACTATGTCTTTCCAAAGTCATTGTTGATTTCAGATAATTTTTTAAATTTTCAACTTAAAAAATGACCTTTCTCCTGTTGCCGCTGATACTGGTAATGTTAAAATAATTCTTAAAATGACAAACATATGTGGAACTACTAAATTCATATTATTTTCCAATATGAAACTTAATACTTCTAATGGAGTTATACTGGTCAGTACCATATTTTGCAAAATGTCAATTTCATTATTCAATTCCTCTGCATCAGTATCACTTACATTTTTATGTTTATCAGAAAGCTTTATTTGTAAATCTTCACACTATTTCCTTTTCTCATCACTACTGGTGTTTTTAAGATTAGAAATATTGTACAGAAATTCAAATGCTTCATTATGCTCCTTAAGCGAGTTGTGTCCAAAATTGAAAAATATAAATTAATTTTGAAATTTCTTTGTAGATCATTAACAGGTTTGTCTGCATGTTCATAGTCAAAATGTTTAACCTTCTTCCAGCAATGAACAACATTTATGTTTGGCAACTTAGGTTCTACTTCAATAATTTCAGTTAAATCTTTACTGCAAGTTAAAAAATGTTGAAATTTTGTATCTGAGCATTTTTCAGATAAAAAATCAATCAAGTTGTTTAATAGATCAATACATGTTCTGATATTTAGCTTTAGCACCTACAGCATTTTGGCAACCAGACTGACATTAGACAGAATTTCGTACCATATTACAACTGAGCATAAAAACTTAAAGCTTTTAATTTTTGCAACCATGCATTGATCCTGGTAGCAAGGGGTCATATCTTCATTTGTTATTCATTAATTCTATCAGACTATCATATATTTCTCTGATTTCAAATCTTAAAGGTTTGATGGCATTAATCCTGCTCTCCCACCTGTTTTATGAAACTAGTTTTAGTGTTAGCTTTGTAATATGCATTTTTTTAAATGCCCCATCTTTGAGTTGAAGATGAAAAAAAATTCATATCATTTTTGCACAATATAAAAAAATTCTACAGCTTCAAGTGTGACCTTTGCTGCTTCACAAACTATGAGGTTTAAACTGTAGGAAGCACACGGTACAAAAATAGCTCATGGATTGATATCTAAAATTCTTTTTTTGCAAACCATTATGTTTACCATGCATATTGTCACCATTATTGTATCCCTGACCCCAAATCTTCCAACTTTTTCAGAAAAGACATGGTTAATTCCTCCCCACTGAATTTTGTGACAGGATAAAATCCAAGGAAATGTTCACAAATTTTAGCTCTTTTGTTTTTGGTATTTATTTCCACAAACCGAATAATTATGGTGATTTGCTTTGTGTGGCATATATCTGGTGTACAGTCAAGGATCATAGAAAAATATTTTGCTCTTTTAGACATATCTAATATGAATTCATTAATTTCCTTTGAAATTAGTGTTATAATTTAATTTTGAATCTGATGCCCTAAATATTCTGTGATGGCTGATATTATTCAGTCATCACCAAGTCAAACTTAGCTATCATTTCTGTGGCTTTTAAAAAATTTCCATTGTTAGGTTCACACAACTTATCAAAGGAACCTCTAAAAACTAGATTTTGTCAGCATACCAGTGTCTTTTTTTCTGTCTCATAGAGTTGTTGTTGTTTACCTATAGCAGACTTATTTTTTAAAGCAAAATTAAGATCTGACAATTTTTTGTAATTGTTTATGTGGTATAAACTTTTTTCATGTCTTGAGAAGTGTTGAGAAGCATGTTACCAATCTGAAAATCCTCTCTTAATCATTTGATTTTCTTGTTTAATAAATAACTTACAGCAAAAGCAAAAAACATATGTACATAATTATCATCCTCTCAAAAGAAGAGACTTTATCCCTGTACTAGGATATGCATTGTGCACATATGTTTTTAACAAATAACATAGCTCAACGTACAGTAAACAGTACATGCGTCAATAATATATAAATAGATAATAGATAAAAATAAGGCCTGGTACAAATTAGGCTTTTACTCAGATACTTTCAAACACCTATTTCATACACCAAGTAACTACTTAAAATCTGAAATCAATTTATAAACAGATTTTCTACATATTATTTTTGCTTTTTCTGACTATGTAGAGTCAGTGTACGGGTACTAGCTACCCTCCCAGTACACATTTTCCTTGAAAATGGAGAATAGGCTATAATAATGTAAGCTACAAATCTCTAGCAATTAAAAAATAATAAATTTTCACTGCATGTGTGCATGCTGGTTTATTAGGCTACTCAGGAATAGTACCATAATACTGTTCTTGACAAGGCAGAACAGAGAAGTAAACTGTAGCAACATTTGATCGAAAAATAAACTAAATCTTTTACTTAGGCCTGTCCATCATGCCACTTAGCCAGACTTAGGCTATGTATATATATATATAACTGTTCTCTAATGTTTATTTCTACATGATAAAAAGGATTCACACTCGTATACCATAGATAACATCATGAAAAAATGTACAACTCTATGGACAACAGTAAACACCTACCTTTCTTAAACCAGGAGCAGTCTAGAGCACAGCACACAAATGTTTACATCTGCCTAACATACATAAAATTTCATTGTTTATTGGGTTTTATTCTTGGTACTTGGAAAAATCCAGCTAATAGGATATCAGGATACACAGCTGAGAAAGGAAGAAGTCCACCAAATCATGATCTACCTCTTTAGGCATGCTATTTGAGCAAATACTTCTTGGTTAATGTTGCCATATGTGACAAGATTTTAAAAAAATTTTTCATCCAAGCTAATTATCCTGACAACAAAATAAAACTAGTTCCCTAATTTGTCACTGTCATAATATCAGAAGCTTTAGCAAAAGAAGAAATTAACATTAATATTCCTGGCCTTAAATCATTTACACAACCTAAAACTAATGAAACCAGAGGCATTGATATATTCTTTAAACAAAGCATAACTCACTATATTAAGATTGAATGAGACATTTATTCAACCATTAAAGAGAACATTTATTGCAACATCCGGATTAAAAACAGACATATCATTTCTATACTAGTCATGTATTGTTCTCCCAGCAAACTGATCAAGAATAACTTTACAAGACTACTAAAATAGCCTGCACCCATTTTAGTTGGAGACTTTAATGCTCCACACACTGACTTTCACAGTTACTGTACCAATGCCAGAGGCTTCAGCATTCACACACTACTCGAAAACAGTAATATGTATGACATTAACGATAATACTCTGACACATTATCATGCAGCAACAGATAATTATGACATACTCGACCTTGCTATAATCCCTACCCCCTCCTTCCTTTTTTCTGGAACTTCACAGTTCACCATGACACAGCTAGTGACCACTTTCCTATCTCCTTCTTTTAATATACAAATGAGCAAACAGGATACATGCATTAACCTCCCACCAGATTATAACTACACTAAAATGGACTGGAAAACTTTCAGTGCAGTTCTTGAAACACTTTTATCTAACCAAATTAACACCATTTTCAACAAAAGAAAGGCTGATGGCCTGGGGTCAGAGGGGGTGGCTAAACCTCAAACAGCTGCCCCCCTATTATTGGCTGCCCATGTGCAGTGCACACACTCAAGATCCAACCTTGATCAAAATAGTGTATACAGATGGAGAAGGCATGTCTATACACTAGAATGCCAATATAGAAAGAGAAGATTGTGTTACAATGGTAGAGGGAACTACCTGCACTAGTATAGGTGGCGCAGTAATGGTTGGTGGAAAAATAGGCACATAATCAGCACATGTTGCCACAATGATGGAAAAGATATAGGGGTATAAAAGACTGGTGAGCTGTTGACAATCTTAACAATGCTTAGAGGGTAAATGAAGGTCAAGATAGCTTTGGGTGTAAGAAGGTAGTGCTGTTTCGGAATGTATTTTTTCATTAAAAATATATATTTACATATATATTTGTATATAAAATGTGAATGTTTTTAAGTACAATAATAGCAGTCACATTTTTATGCTGATGTTTTTAAAACATTTCATATTATGAGTATGATAAATTCATTCTTCATAAAAAGGGATGTATCTATATGAATTACAAAATTACATGTGATGACTTACGTGAACCAGGAAGCATCTTGATGTCAATCTTCAGAACTAATAAGATCATCACATTAAAAGATTTATATAGTTTTGTAATTCACATTTACATAAGGTGTTATAATACTGCATAAAAACATTTTTTTACAGCTGAAAATAAAATTTTCAAAGAAACTGAACAAGACAATAAAGCAATGAAAAATTAAACATAAAATATAACTATATCTTAACATTACCTATATAAAATTTATATTTCAAAATAAAAAATAGAACAAGTTTTGATGTTTTAATATCTCATAAAATTTTATCCATCAATTTTTCTATCTTTTTATGGCAAACTTAGAGAAGTAATCATAAAATGAAATCTAAGGTTCAAAATTCTCATAGTTTTATGCTGTAATAACCAAAATTATTTATTGTTGAAAGCAAACCAATAATCTAAAATCAAAATGAAAAATAATTTGTTTACAGTGGCAAGTTATAACAGACATATGAAAAGTTTCCTCCTTATACCAGAAGTATCTAACAGAAAAAAAATGTTATTTTTAATTATGCCGAATCAACCTTACGAAAAAAACAGAATCATATTTACCTAATCCAAATATTTTATGCAAAATATAAGGAAGAGACAATGTTTTCCTAATTTCAAAATAATTTAACAGATTCTTCCCAATGGCAATTTGTGAAAATGGTGCTCTATGAGAACATATAGGTGGCTGAACTTAAAACTATAAGCCTTTATGTAACACATACATAATAAGCTCTGATGGTCTTGAAACAACCTTAATAGTTTTAAAACATATTATAATTCTTGTATCCAACAATTACATTTTCTTTTCATTGCTTAAAAAACAAACAAATTATGTAACCAAACAAAATTTTCGAACTCATCATAAATTATTGTAATAGTTTTGTTTTTTGTTTACTATTTACCTACAACGTATTGTCTCCTGATTCTTATAAAATAAAATATTAAACTTCCTACAAAACAAAGGACAACGTATAATTCTTTGTTCAAACGTTAGACAACTGGTATCAATTAGATTTCTGCTGAATTTTTACTTGCATTATCTTGCCAAAAATATGCGTCACTTTATAAGTTATTAAGCAATTTTGTTATAAATTGTTATATTTTATATTTATCCTGAAACATGCACAAAAATATTACTCAAGAGAATGGAAGAGAAAAACTTTCATAGGGAAAAAATTTATAAATAAGTTACTTTCATCAGTATATTTTCTTTTCTATGAAATATACTGAAATAAGTGAGGTTAATTAATATTTTTCAGTACCTTATATGGAATAGAAACCAAGTAGAAAGTCCCTTTTGTCGTGAATGATAAAAATTCACACAGTATATATAAAAAAAGCAAAAAAATATCATGAGCTCCCAGAGGCTTGCTTAAATTCAGGTAAAAATATTTTCTTTTCAGATTTCATGGTTGCATCTCTATCCATAAAGAAATATTATGTTGAAATGACAGAAAGTTATTTTCATAAATATTAAAGGTATAATACCAAGAAATATTCTCAACTCTACCTATGAATCCTATATTTTAATTTTGTACTGCTTAAACACAAAATACTGAGCATGTTTTTTAAACATTAATTAATAATAAATTTGCTATTAACTATAAATATGTTAATCTAAGTATTATATAAACAAATTAGTGTTTATTCTCAAAATTACAAAGACAGAGAGATGTCTTTTGACATATCAGTGATTACACAAACCTAAACTACAACATTTTGAAGCCATATTCATAATATAGTGAATGCTCTAAAATAACTACAATGTATACTTCAATTGCTATATTTAATCATTTGGTCTTTAGTTATGAACATATAAAGAGCTATATAAAATATACAGGCAAAAAACTTTGTGATATCTGAACTTACTGAAATCAGATGTACAAATAATTTCCTTCAGTTTATAGTCTAAGTCATTATGGCAGTTGAGACAGGAATCTGGACATGAAGGACAGTCAGTAGATGGGACAAGTAGATAAGGAATAGATGGAAGATAAGTAACAAGTGATGAGTTATGTACACAATACTTCAGGTTCTGTTCAATTTTTTCTTCATTTCTTCTATTATAATTTACAAGATAGACTACATCTGTCATCTGCATAACACCATATTTGTAGCCAACTTTGATCCAAGGACATTTCATGCTCAATAAGATATATACACCTGAAAAAAATGTATAAATAAATGATTATGTAAATAAGAAATGTATTAATAAATTATAATGAAATAAATTCCAGGATGTAAAATAAAACATATCAAATAAAATTATTCAGAAAAACACTATGCTACACAACCAACATGCAGTGCATTCTTAGACCTTATCAACCTATTTAGATCAATACAAGATTTACTACATGAAATATAAGTTGATATGTTTATAGTTACAAAACTACTGAATTGGTGTTCTGCAACTCATCTTATAAATATGTGTAATAAGTGTAAATAATACACTTATTTTAACCTACTTCATGGTACATTTTGAAGTATCTATGAAAAAGTCAAACATAATGCAGTGCAATGTTTTCAGGATTTAAAGTTTTATTCCTGTGATATAACCTTTTTTATTATAAAGATTTTTTTGTCTGTGGTTAATTGAAGGAAGCAGTACCACAAAACCCAAAAAATAAAGTAAACACATAGAAAGAAAAAATATATAAGATGGTTTCCTCAATGCAAATTATACCACAGAAATCCTACCTTTATGATAACATGTAGAGGGCCATTTTTTATATTTTTTTACAGATTTATTGTCACATAGGTTTTATGATTTAATGTGAATAATGTTTTATTTAACATTATATAAGTGTTTCAGTTGAAAAACAAACTGTTGGTGACTACATCTAGCCACAGAATTTTATAGTTTTAAATTTTTGTTTCCAGTAAAGATTGTCATTTTGCTATATGAATAACAATTACACAAAATCTCATACTAGTTCTTTCCTCAAGCAAATGTTTAATGATAGACATCTGAATATTAAAAAAATTTCCTTTGAATTTTAGAAGTATTTCAGTTTACAGGTTATGAAAAGAATGAGCTGTTGGAAAGTACCTACTAATATTTAAATACTGAACAATGAAAATGAGTCCTGAATTACTGATCCACAACAATCACTAATATAAAGCTTTGTTTACTGGTTGAAAACAATCAGAAAAAATTAAGAAAATAATGCACAATGATAAAATACATACATAATGATAACAGATAAATTGATGCTATTTTCGTAAAACACAACTGATTAAGCATTACAAAAAGAAACAAAAACACTATGCACAAACTATGTTATTTATTTGCTTAAAAGGAAAACTATATTATATGAAGGTGTAATTACTACCAAATACCAGGATATATCAATTCATTGCATCTATTGTCTATTTTGTTTTATTTTACTACAAACTTTAAACAATCTTTCTATTGATTATGTAGCTCCTGAAAATGAATTATCTTATACATAATATCTTTATGAATGTAACATTTTAAATTTTAAAATGTTTCACTGTAATGGTTTTTAAA